CCCCCCGTGGGCGCTCCCCACACTTTTTAGAAACACGTCATCATTGTACTTGTTCACATTCACACTAATAAGATATAACCCTGAAAACCTGCTGGGCACAGCACAGATAGCACGTTATGTAGCCTTGTGATTGATAACAAACGAAACGAAACCGGAGTAAGAACTAATTAACATCTTACTCTCTGCGCACAATAGGCCTAGCATAGCCTGGTGGTTAAGTCGATCGACTCGCAATACGAGGGTCGCGGATTCAAATCTTCCATCACCGAACATGCTCCCCTTTTCAGTCATGGGGACGTTATCATGTGACAGTCAATCCAACTATTCGTTGGTAAAAGAGCAGCCTAAGAACTGGCAGTGGGTGATGTTGACTAGCTGCCTTCCCTGCTAAATTATGGACGGTTAGGCGCAGGTCAAAGTTCACAGTCACCCAAGTGAAGGCTTCTATTGACTAATGTACAGATGTATCGTTCAGAAAAAGACATTTGCTAATTTGAGTCTGTTTGCCATGCCCCCCAGTGGCACAGCGGTATGTCTGTGGACTTATACCGCTAGAAATCGGGTTTCGATACCCGTAGTGGGCAGAGCATAGATAGCCCTTTGTGTTGCTTTATGCTTAATAATAAACAACAACTGTTTGCCATAGTTATTCAAAAACGGAACTTCTAAAACGTCTTTTATAACACCTAGAATTGTTTTAGAACAAAGCCCCATTGGGCTATCTGCTCTGTCTAACGCGGGGAACCGAAACTCGGATTTTAGCGTTGTAAGTCCGTAAACGTATCGCCGTCCCACAGAGTGACACTAAAGTCTAGAAACGAGATAACACGGGAGCTATTAGATCAAAGTGTCAGATAAGCAACGATTTCTTTCTTATTGTGTATCTAACGTTTGATTCTATTATGGATTACAAAAATGAATCTTGTTGTTTTAGTTTCACTTTGTCGGGTGATATCACACTATAAATCTTCTGTATTTATTTTCGAAAAAATCTTACGGTTTTACCCAATGCCGTACATGCTGATATATATATATATATAATAAAGTAATTGAAAAAGTGAAATTAAAAACAATCCACAAGGTTTAACTAAATGTTTAACAGCTTTAGGTATGGTATTTAGCGTTTATCATAAACATGGTTGAGATTTTTGGTATGCAACTCACATCAGCGCACCTGAGCTAAAGGACAAGTCAGAGATCTCTAAGATTTAAGTACAGACGTCTCTAATTTTGAGTTACAGACCAAAATGTCAGCCGATCAGTAGAAACCGAGTTATTGGAATGAATGTCACTCTCATAACATACCAGGTGGTTAGGATGCTCGACTCGCAATCTGCGGGTCGCGGGTTCGCATCCCCATCCCACCAAACATGCTCGCCCTTTCAGCTGTGGGGGCGTTATAATGTTACGGTCAACCCCACTATTCGTTGGTAAAAGAGTAGCCCAAGAGTTGGCGGTGGGTGGTGATGTCTAGCTGCCTTCCCTCTATTCTTACACTGCTAAATTAGGGACGGCTAGCGCAGCTAGCCCTCGTGTAGTTTTGCTCGAAATTCAAAACAAACAAACTCATAACATAGTCCAATATTGGCAATTAACTTTGTCGTCTACCACTCTTTGTGGCAGTAATATTTTGTATTTTCTAAACCATCTGTGATTTTTGTCAACATAGTATTCTTAAATTTGATTTAGTATGCTCCAAAAACAAAATTAATAAGCTCGGTTCAAGAAAAGAACAATATTTTTATAGAATTTTGTTTTGTTTGTAACTTTAAGTACAAAGCTACATAATGGGCTATCTGTGCTCTGCCCACCACGGGTATCAAAACTCTGGTTTTAGCACTATAAACCTTCAAATTTACCATTATGCCATTGGGGGGGGGGGGCATTTTATAAACATTTTATCTTGTTTGGTATCGTAGTGTATAAACTATTCTAGTTATCTGCGCTAATTTAGCAGCGAAAGACTAGAGTGGAAGGCAGCTAGTCAACGGCCCGGCATGGCCAGGTGGTTAGGGCATTCGACTCGCAATCTGCGGGTCGCGGGTTCGAATCTCCGTCCCACCAAATATGCTCGCCCTTTCAGCCGTGTTATAATGTGACGTTGTTATTAAGAGTAGCCCAAGAGTTGGCGGTGGGTGGTGATGACTAGCTTCCTTCCCTCTAGTCTTACACTACTAAATTAGGGACGGTAGCGCAGATAGCCCTCGTGTAGCTTTGCGCGAAATTCAAAAACAAAAAACAAAGCTAGTCATCACCAGGCAGATGCGGTTACTAGAAATTTGAAATTAATGTATTGAGATGACTGAATGTATTATGTTCTATTGCTCATAAAGTACTCCCTGTGATAATATAATGGTAGTCATAGCAACTTCAACTCTTCACCCCTAAAGGTTATAAGATCCATTTTTTTTCCACACAGTGTATGCGAAAAAAAAGAAAAACAGAAATAAATCAAACAACAGTATAAAATCGTGATCAACTAATAAAACACCACATGGCCACTATGTAGGTTGAAGTTTGCGCTGTTTCTAGCACGCAAACTGAAAATTGATATCATAATGGATTTAACGCACACCTGTAGAGTCTGTATTTCAATCTACCTTTTCGAATATGTTTTTTTTTTTGTCCATGATACAATAACGCTTGCAGAACTTCATTTATGATGTAGAACAGTGCGGGAAGAGAGAGACGTAATTCGCGTGATCAAACATACATACAGATGTAACTGATAACGTTTTTTGCGTGTGATACAGAAGTATATATATCAAAATAATATTTTTTTACGTCCAGAAAATTAATAAATATTCCGTTAAAACAATGTTTTACACCAAGAAAGTTAATAGGTATTCCGTTAAATTACTCCTGTTGGCTAAGAAACTATACTATTAACCCCAACAATAATGTTGTATTTGAAGCACAAAACTAATATACAACTTTTAGTTTCTTTCCTAAACTCACTTTTGTCTTCTTTATTCCACTTAGTGTATTGTGTTCAGAAGAAAATTCAAATATTTTAAGGTGATTGTACTTAATTCTATTTAGTTAATAGCTCCGTATTGAGTTTCATTGCTTTTCTGAACACCTAATTCCTGGATTCAGTAATAGATAGGCAAAATTCTGTAATTTTTTGGTGAGAGTATTTCAATACGTATGAAACTCCCTCCCTTACGATGGAGTTTACTTTTAGACTATATATATAACTGGAAGTTTTTAAACCATTTTAAAACCCATACCCTTACGTATAATGGTACCTGTAACTTCGTTGGTTTTTAATACATTTATTATGTATCCAGATAATATAGAGTTTTCTTTATAAACAACTCAATAACTTTCACCTGAGTTGTATATCTTAAATCCTCTGAAACTATAGCACCTTCCTACGTTGCGGATTTCCTGTCTGTTAAATGACTTCTAAAGATAATAAAAAACTAAGTATATCTTAAATCCTCTGAAACTATAGCACCTTCCTACGTTGCGGATTTCCTGTCTGTTAAATGACTTCTAAAGATAATAAAAACTAAGTATTTTAGTTGAAAACAGGAGCTCCCCCGGTAGAACAGCGATAAGTCTTCGGTTTTACAACGCTATAATCAGGGGTTCATTTCCCCTCGGTGGACACAGCAACTTTCCAGATGTGGCTTTGTTATAAGAAAACACACACCGAAAACAGGAACGTTATTTGACCTATTAATACCAGAGAGCAGTAATTTAGATCCTCCAACATTAGATATTGTATTATTTCATGGTAAACAACGTTTCGTCTTCTTTCGTGGTTGAACAGTCGTGCTTACCATGCTCTATAGTTATATGTTCATTTTCTTTGAAAGCATTTTTCCAAATTCCAGTTTTCAGAGCAATAGTTCAAAGCTGGTAACAAACTTTGTAGTTTACCACTCCTCACGGTGGTAATATATTGTAGTTTCTAAATTACCACTCATTCATTTTAACCTCTCGAGATCGGTAACGTATTTTGCACTATTTAATTGCAGAGAGTTATAATGTATCATAGCCCCGGCATGGCCAGGTGGTTAGGGCGCTCGACTCGTAATCTGAGGGTCGCGGGTTCGAATCTCCGTCACACCAAACATGCCAACCTCCCAAGTCCAGGATGAGAAAGGATGCGAGGCTAGCAACTCCACCCCGTAAAAACCAACCTGCTACAAGTAACTGCAACAACAACAACACCTTCCGTTGGCGAAGTGTTGTTGCGGCCCTATGCTCCACTGGGAGTTTACAGGAATAAAAATAATAATAATAATGTATCAAGCAATATTATACGTTTTACTTTAAAAACCATCATACTTTGGTCTACGGAAAGTTCAATATCATAAACTTTATTTAACTCCGATAACCTATGATGAATGTTTTATTTTGTCGGTGGAAATGATCAGATTTCTATTTCATATTGTGTGTAACATACTACAATAACATCACATATCCCTCGACCAGCAGTGATAAATTTCTAGTTCGTAGTCGACTTTATTTTATATCATATAAATCGTGAAGAAATACTTCACTTTTTGTCATATACATTTATATTTACCCTCGTTTCTATTAACTCTGAATCGGTAGCTCTCTTGTACACTAAATTTGACCGTAGGTGTTTTGTAGTATCAACCTACCATTTTCACGTGAAGTTATTTTATTCAACATTACCTCGTGTTTTATTAATCACGCATTTGTGTGTGTGAGGGGGTATTTTCAATAAGAATCATTCTTTGATAATTTATTTAAAGCTATTTATGATTTAATTACGTGTTCTCGAGAAGAACGAGAACATACTTGTTCACTCCGTGAAGTTCGCTTAGCAACAGAGAAAACCTTCGTAACTAAGTAGTTTGTGATTGTTCTTTGTATAAGCTCGGGAAACAATGAGCGTAGATCGTATCTTCTTCCTCATTGGCTGATTTTGTCTACGTTGAATGACGTAATCAGAATAAACAAACCCATGCTCTGCCCTGGCGTGTAAAGAACTTCAAGCACATCTGGGGAAACGTCGGAAGAGACTGACTGACTCGTTGAGAGTACTAGAAATCAAGTTCGATAGAGAAACTATTTGTTTAGAGCTCCTAATCAAGTTAACCACCAATTACTGACGGCCTAAAACTAATGATACGCAGCATATCATTTTGATAGGCAGACGCTCTTAAAATCAGGTAAGAATAAATTGTATATTTTTTTATCAGATTCATGAATCCGAGAGTTTAATTTACTGATGAATAGTTTGAAATATATATATGTATATAAAAGAACAACGTATTAAAACCTAAAGTGTAGTCAAAATGCTAGGAAAATATTAAACCTGTTTTTTTTAACTCAAACTGTTTTGTTTTTAACGGGAGCTCTGTGTTTGAGCAGACTGTCAAATTACATAAGTGTATCCGTGGTTGTCAGACGTCATAGTTAGGGGAGATTATAATACTTGAGCAAATCCACGAGCTTATGGATACGTGCAGTTAAAGTAGTGTATTGTTTCTTATTGATAGGTAAGCCTTGCACCTCCCAAACGTACATAAATCATTTGATATACCAAATTATGTTTAGCTGATATTATTGTTGTTGTTGTGGAAACTTGAAGCGTGGTATAAAATGGTGTTGATAATAAATAGAATATGCTCATCGTACTGGAAACCTATATTTACTCGTTCGAAGGTGTGAATAAAAGTATCATTCTTATTGTGATATCACACTAACTACTGATAAAGAGATCTAGTTTCGCCAGTTTAGGCGTTTAACACCATAAGACTTAAAGATCTCTTAAATTGCTGACGTTTATAAATAGCACCTCAACTGAGGTTTCACGTGGTGTAATCTAACCGACCCGGTGAACTCCCGTATTAGCGAAGGCTGACGTTGTACATGGCACAAAGTGTAGTACAGTTACAATATAACTGTTCCCATTGGAAATCTAGATAGGATCACTAGGGAAAGTTGGGAATACAATTACTATCAGTATCGTTACGCTTTCGTATCACACCAACTACTCTTGCTGCAGCTTTATGCCGTATACACTGTATAACTGAATTAAATTTTGCAAACTTAAAATTCAACACTGATTTTACAAGTTTTATTGAGACACTTTGTTTTTCATAATTCAAAAACATATCGCACGATAAATGTGGTTCCTGAGAATTCACGACTAGTTTAAGCAGACTCACACGCCTTGAGTGCCAGTTTTATAACAATATTGATCTTCCAAATGCTATAAATAAATTCGTTTCTCTACATAGGTTGTTATGGAGGTTTTTCTGGTAGCTGTTTTTTTTATTAGACACAGCGACTATTTCCAGTATTAGACGTTTTTAAGTATAATACCGTATAAAGTTTTGGTCTTTGTAAAACGTTACTAAAATAGTAGTCGTTGAAATATATTCATCAAGAACTGTGCCCCAGACATTTTGAAAGTCGACCATTTTTTTTTCAGCTGTGGGTAAAAGTTATAAAACTTACGTTTACAAACAATAGGGGTTCCAGCCAAAAAATAAAAAACCTTTTCCTAACATGCATAAATAATTAGTTATAACATATTAGGAAAATGGTTGAAATAAACAGTTATAAATGTTAAGAAAAAAGCTATTTTTAGTGTTAGCTTATAATTCTGTAACATTTACCCTCAGTGGAATAGAACGATCGGCCTTCGAACTTCTAGACTGCAGCTCCGCTCTTGCGGAATAGATTTTAATGACTAATGATTTTACTAACGTTTTGTGATGTTTTATTTAGATTGTAAGTCACTTACAAATTGTTTGTCAAAACATTCAAAATTTTACAATGAAATTGTGCTGTTCTAAGCTTATTTTGTGTGATGTTACTTCCTTTTCTGAGTTGTCACAGAAAAATGTTTGTCTGTTTGTTGGGTGGAATATTTCTAAATGGCTTACTTTCGTAAGGATTCTGGTTTTCTCATTCGATATCAAAAAGTAAAAGTGAACTTTGTAACTATTATCGTAAATATGAAACCACTAGGTTATATTTACAGGTTTAAAGATAATAATTAGGAAAACTAGTGGTATAAATTGTACTATTTACACGTACGGATGTAAGCAGTCTTATGTTGTTTAAATTAAATGCAGAAAAGCGCACTTTTCGTAAAAGATCTTTGGCAAAAGTTAGTTATCTTTACCGGTTTTTACATTTTTTATTGTTCGTTCAATTCTAAAAACATGTACAGTCTATAAGTTCGATACGGTTAGTTAATAATAGTGTAATAACACTGCATTATTTACAGCTAAAATATTTGCAGTTTACATTACAATATTCAAGTATAAATTTCCATAGTTTTTATTCTATTGTAACTTTATATGCGTTAAGAGTTTTTGCGAATATACAAGGATCTTGTAAGGAAATGATCAGTTTTTTTAATGTCTTAAAAGAATAACAGGAAGTTAATAACAGGAGGAAGTAACCGATAAGTTTAATAAATAGGTTGTTTGAGTTATTCTTAAAAATAGGAATTTTTGTACGTCTTGTATATATTGATTGTTTAAGATAATTTGTATCTGTGATGAATTTCGGTTTCCCTTTACGTAATAATTAAAATTTCGATCTCGTTTTTAAAAACAACAATTAGCATCAGAAAAAAAAAAAGTTTTAAAGGTAAAAGACGGTGTTTGGAAAGTTGACGTAATCCGAATTTTATATGTCGGTGATGCCAAGCTCGGAGTGAAAAACAGGATACTGTCCACGCGGGAAAACGATGTAGAGGTCCGAAGTTATTTTAGGTATATCTATATATCTCAATTTGAGAGAGATGTTGCAGAATATTCTGAGAATATTGCCTGAGCTGGATTCTTCTATCTGTAGTGGGGAACATTTACTACTAGTTGTATGTTTTGGATGCTATCCGCCGCGGGGAAAGCGTTTTTTTTTATTACAGTTCAAAGGTTTAAAACTGACGAGGTAAGAAACTGTTCTTTTTTTGTTTAGAATTAAATTTTTACCTATGGAGGTATTAGTCTTTATAAGTGTTGACAGTTAAGTTTTGATTTTACACTAAATTATTGATATCTATAATACTGACCACGTCTCACAAGCAGAAAACGTTGTTGAGGAAAGGAATAGTAACCTATAACAGATCAATTAAAACAATATGATTGAATAGACAGTTTTACCACTGAAATGTATTTTTTTTTACGTACAACTGTTCAACCTGTCATGTTCAGCTAAACTGACCGTTATATAAAACAGCGAATCAGAATCCCGAAACACAAAAACTTGCTTTATTTGATACGATTGTGTATCAATATCTAACAATACCGCTAAGTTTATACATCTCAAGTATTTGTTATGTTTGAGTATCAACATTTTGAGTACTGTCCAAGTTCATACAACAACTCAAGTATTTGTTAGGACAACTTATCAACACTTAGAGTACCGTTAAAATTCATACAGCAACTCAGGTATTTATGATTAAGTATCAACATTTAGAGTACCGTTCAAGCTTATATAACAACTCAAGTGTTTGTTATGACTAATTATCAACATTTAGAGTACCGTTCAAGCTTATATAACAACTCAAGTATTTGTTATGACTAATATCAACATTTAGAGTACCGTTCAAGCTTATATAACAACTCAAGTATTTGTTATGACTAAG